CCAGGCCCATGGGCTCTGTTCTTGGAACCCTCGACCCCGCAATTTCTCGCCCAAAATCGACCAACGCCCCACCCCCCCCGCCCCCCACTTGGTCCCGACACCCCCAAGCTCATGGGCTCTGTTCTTGGGACCCCCGACACCACGATTTCTCACCCAAAATCGACCAACGCCCCCCTCCCCGCCACCCCCTTGGTACCGACACCCCCAAGCCCATGGGCTCTGATCTTGGGACCCCCGACCCCACGATTTCTCACCCAAAATCGACCATCGCCCCTCCCCCGCGCTCCACTTTGTCCCGACACCCCCAGGCCTCTGGGCTCTGTTCTTGGGACTCCCGACCTTTACGATTTTTCGCTCAAAAACGACCAACGCCCTCCTCCCCGCACTCCACGTGGTCCCGACACCCCCAAGCCTCTGGGCTCTGTTCTTGAGACTCTAATCGTGGGGCCCCTCCCCCCCCCCCCCCAAAAACGAGCAACGCCCCCTCCCCCGCCCCCACTTTGCCCCGACCAACCCCGAATCCTTCTGGGCTCTGTCTTGGGACCTCCGACCCCACGATTTTTCCATCAAAAACAACCAACCACGCCCCCCCCCCCCCCCCCGCCCCCCACTTGGTCCCGACACCCCTAAGCCTCCCTACGATTTCTCGCCCGAAAACGACTGATACCCCTCACCTGGCCAGGCCTCGGCTTTCCCAAGCATCTCGGCTCTGTTCTTGGGACCCGCGACCCTACGATTTCTCGCCCAAAATCCACCGATACCCACCACCTTGCCTTCCCACCAGGCCTCGGCATCCCCAGGCTTCTGGGCTCTGTTCTGGAGACCCCCCACCCCACGATTTCTCACTCAAAATCGACCAACGCCCCCCTCCCAGCCCCTCCCACTTGGTCCCGACACCCCCAGGCCTCTGGGTTCTGTTCTGGGGACCCCCGACCTCAAGATTTTTCACACAAAAACAACCAACGCCCCCCTCCCCGCTTCACACTTGGTCCCGACACCCCCAGGACTCTGGGCTCTGTTCTTGGGACCCCCGAGCCCACGATGTTTCGCCCAAAAACGACCAACGCCCCCCTCCCCGCCCCCCACTTGGTCCCGACACCCCCAGGACTCTGGGCTCTGTTCTTGGGACCCCCGACCCTACAATTCTTCCCTCCAAAAAAAAACGACCAACGCCCCCCCTCCCCCCTTCCCGCTCCCCACTTGGTCCCGACACCCCCAAGCTTCTGGGCTTCTTGGGACCCCCGACCCGACGATTTTTCGCCCAAAAACAACCAACGCCCCCCTCCCCGCCCCCACTTGGCCCCGACACCTCCACGCCTCTGGGCTCTCTTCTTGGGACCCCCGACCCCGCGACTTCCGTCCAAAAGCGACCGGCGCCCCTCTCCGCGCCCCTCACTTGGTCCCGACACCCGCAGGCCTCTGGGTTCTGTTCTTGGAACCCCCCACCCCGCAATATTTCGCCCAAAAACGACCAGCGCCCCCCGCCCCGCCTCGCACTTAGTCCTGACACCCCCAGTCCTCTGGGCTCTGTTCTTGGGACCCCCGACCCCGTGATTTTTCGCCTAAAATCCACCAGCGCCCCCCTCCCGCGCTCCCCGCTTGGTCCCGGCACCCCCAGGCCCATGGGCTCTGTTCTTGGGACTTCCGACTCCTACGACTTCTCGCCCAAAATCGACCGACGCCCCCCTCCCCGCCCTCCACCTGGCCCCGACGCCCCCAAGCCCATGGGCTCTGTTCCTGAGCCCCCGACCCTACGATAACGCACCGCTCCCCGCCCCCCACTTGGCCCCGACACCCCCGGGCCCATTGGCTCTGTTCTTGGGACCCCCGACCCCGCGATTTCTCGCCAAAATCTACCATCGCCCCTCCCCGCCACCCACTTGGCCCCGAAACCTCCGCGCTCATTGGCTCTGTTCTTGAACCCCGACCCTACGACCCTCCCCGCCCCCACTTGGTCCCGACACCCCCCAAGCCCTGGGCTCTGTTCTTGGACCCCCGACCCCACGATTTCTCGCCCCAAATCGACCGACGCCCCCCTCCCCGCCCCCCACTGGTCCCAACACCCCCAGGCCTCTGGGCTGTGTTCTTGGGACCCCGACCCCACGATGTTTCGCCCAAAATCGACGAACGTCTCCCTCCCCGCCCCCCACTTGCCCCGACACCCCCAAGCCCATGGGCTCTGTTCTTGGGACCCCCGACCCCACGATTTCTCGCCCCAAATCGACCAACGCCCCCCTCCCCGCCCCCC